AACTAAAAAATAGAACAATCATAATATACTATAAAAAAGCTTATTTAATATTTATGAATTGTTTGCTTCTGAAATTTTTTCATTTAATATTTTCTAAAAGTGGTTGACCATGGGTAACTAAAATAGGATGAGGGGGACTACTCTATTTAAAAAGCAGAATTACTTCTTAAGGCCAAAACAAAATGGACATTGTGCTCATATTTAATATCAAATTCTTCTATTGGGGGGCTCCAAATAAAAAACAAGAATTTTGAAGTCAGAAATACAATGGAATACACACTGTGCCACCAACAATGGACTGGTAATCAGGACTCCAAGAGTGTTGACACCAATTCTATACTACCTACCCATGGGTGAACAAACTGTACTCATTCTGGCCCTTAGTCATACATTTTTATCCTGACTTGCAGAAACCAGTATAACTAATCTCTGTTGGTTATTGAACTCTCCCTTTACAGGCTTGTTTGTCTCCATATTAGACTAATATCCATTAAGGATAGAGATATTTCTTCAAAACTTGTTGAATGAACGAGCAACTGAACAAAAGAATAAGGAACATGCAGCAATTGTTAATACAAACTTATTATATAGAAAACATTTTTTTCTTTCAAGCTTTAAAACTACACTTAACAACTCCAGAATGGATTTTCAAACTTCCATACAATTATCTATTTATTTCGGAATACTATAGTTTTTCAATTACTTCAAGTTTCTTTATGAATAAAAACATTCAAACTTCATAAAGCCATTTACTATGACTAGCACCACTGGAATAAAGCAGGTGATCCAAAAAATAAATAGAATGAATTGAATCTAGGAAGTAACAGGCAATAAAATCAAATAAACCACTGTAGTCATATCACCTAAAAGGATTCTACTCAGAAATCATTTTATGACGTGACTCAAATGAAGATGTTTGCACAAGTGTTCCTAATATAATGGTAAAGCAAAAGTAATGTTAAGGAATAACAAAATGATTATCAAAACTGATTTAATCAAGTTAGAATAGATAGCAAATGTGAAATATCAAACAAGATTTGAAAAGAAGGATGATCATAAGGTAACACACATATGAATCTAGGAACTATTTAGCTTTAAGTAGAGAATATAAAAAATGTTATTTCAAAAATCACTTTTATGGCCTGTGCGGTGGTGCATGCCTGTAATCCCAGTGGCTCAGGAGGCTAAGGCAGAAGGATCACGAGTTCAAAGCCAGCCTCTGCAACTTAGCGAGGCCTTAAGAAACTCAGCTACAGCTTGTTTCTAGATAAAATATAAAAAAGGTTAGGGATGTGGTGAAGCACCCCTGGATTCAATCCCCGGTACCAAAACCAAAAAAAAAAAAAAAATCAATTTTACATAGAAGCAGAAGGAAAAAAGTACGTACTACAGATATAAACTTTGAGCAGGGGCAGTTGTATACAAAATAGAAAAGGATCATTCGGAAAATGTATACAACTGTCTTCTTTAGACCTAAATTATCTATTTCTTAAAGCATTTCATGTACTTGAAAAATCATTGTTCCCATATTCAAAGAAAGCAAAGTTTATAATTTTATATCACACTGAATGTATACTTAAAACTACTTTTGGGTTTAGAATTACTACAGTAACAATATGGATGTCAGAAGAGGCAAGTGTCATGGCAACATTAGATGTCACAAAAGAGCAGTCGGAGCTAAGACGACAATATCTTGCCTAAAAAGAGAAGTTAATATGAAATGAGCCATGAAATCTATGACTAAATAAAAAATAAACAGCACCAATGAGATATCTGACTTAGGAAAAGCTAACCGGTTCTTAATATTATACCTTCAAAATATTTTAAAATAACACCCATTTGGCAAATTATGAAATGTCTCTTTAGGAGGTCTATGATTTCAGAATAACTTTTTTTTTCCCCACAGCATAGAAGGAAGTCTAACTATAACAAAACTTCTGGAGGGAAAAGTTCTCCTCAAAAATGCAACCAAATCATCTTTTACAAAAGCTAAAAGTTACAGGCCAGTTGTACTAAATTTTCTCAAATGACATTAGAGGCAAGAGAATAGTGACTGAGCACTTCGTATTTCTATAAAGTAAGTCAAATTGTTAACTATAACTAGGATCATTTCATTAAAATAACCCTTTACGAAATTATCAGGCCACCATCAAAACAGGCATTTTTTTTCCCTCTTCCTGAGTTCTCCATAAGAAATAAAACCTGGAATAAGAAAGAGATATAAACCAGAAGTGCCACTTGTGTGACCACACATTAAAGTTACTATTTTGTGACTACAAATTAAAGCTACTAAAGCACATGGTCAGGGGAGATTAATAAACAACCAACAGTTGGAAACATATTACACTTTCTAAGCTTTACCCTCATTAAGAAATCCAGAGCACTTTTCTAGAGATAGTTGCATTTAAGCCCAGATAATGAATATTTTAGCTGCCTTTCTTTGCCGGTTTTTGTGCCAAGCCCTTTTGAAGCTGGGGATGATTAGGTCGAATCCAAGAAGGAAAACAGCTCTTGCGGGAAATGGTATCTTCAAACAGTCCAGAACACCAGTGACGCACTAGGAGCTTGGAAAATATCCCGTCCTTTACCTTGCTAGGAGCAGCTAGGTAGGAAGATGTCGACCACGTGCACTATTGTTTTCCAGATACGTTTATTTATTTTTAACTTCTGCTTTGATATCAGTTCCCTTAACCTCAATCTAATGGGGGGAGGCGGCATGGCAGCGCCGCTTGTGGTACCTGGGCGCAACAAGAGTTTAAATAATAAACACATATAAATATATTTTTTAATCGCAGCATACTCAGTACCCTCATCTCTTGTCCAGACTTCTGCCATCACCCCACGCTGGTCTTCTTCAACACTGCCGCTTCCTTGGGTCCCCATGACAACCCCACCCCAGGGCGGGCCCCCTCGGCAGCCTCCTGGCCCCTGCCTGGGCCTGCCAGACACACTTGCCCAGCAACTGACTGCTCCACCTGCCCTCGGCCGCCACCCTCCCAGCTCCCAAGAATAGGATAAGGACCCTTCCCGGCGCGCGGGCCCAATCCCCGGGGAGGGCAAGACCCTCTTCGGCAGGTGACGTGGGGCGGGGCAGCCGACGCAGAGCTGGGGACGTTCCAACCCAAACCTCAAAGAGCGTAGTGGGGGGCCAGGTACGACCCCCAAATGGGGTGCGGCCGCCCCGATCCCCTCTCTGGCCGAGGGACAGGCATAGGGGGCGCGAAGGAACTCGTTTGTTGTCACAAACAACGACGCGTCGTGGCGGTGAGAGATGCTGGGGCCGAAGCTCACCTTGAAGGGGTTGTTGAGATCCGGATCCGCAAACGGGTTACTGTCAAAATCCGACATCTCTCTCGCGCTCGGCGTCACCCACCCGACCCAGGCGCAGAGAGAGAGAGGAGGCGAGGCCGCCGCCCCCCTGCGCGCTCACGTCGCCGCCGCTGCCGCCGAGCAGATCCGGGTGCAGCTCGCGGGGCCACCCAGCCGGCCGTGCCACTGAGCATGCCCGGTGCGACGGGCTCCGGGCCGGCGGCACCGCTCCCGCTCGCCGTCCCGTTCCTCCGGGCCTGGATCCCACGCTCCGGGCTTTGGCTAGGATCGAGGAGGGAGCAAGGGCGGAGGGAGCCGGGAACGGAGGGGGACGAGAGTGACGCGTCCCACACTCCAAGGACCGAGTGAGAGGAGCCTTAGGTCTGGCTGAAAGAGATTATATTAACATGGATTTGAGATCGGATTCCTAAGACCCACCGTGCCAGACTTTAAAGAAGAGGTGGTGTTTTGTGGGGAAGAAGCACCCTGACCCGACTTGTCAGGTTGGGGAGGCGGTCTGGGACGCGGCCCGCACACCCGGGGAGCCAGTGACCGCGGCAGTCAGGGAACTGGAGAAACCTCGGCAGCTGTTCCCAAAGAACTGCCGCGGGTCGCAGCCCTCGATAATGAATTTTGCGCACGCCTGACCCAACCTGGGAATCCTAGCCTCCCATTTTCGTGTCCCCCCCCCTCATTCTAGGTTGCTTCAAAATCATGGAGAACCATCTCGACGATCCGAACTTGCTCCAAGGAGGTTTGGGAAAGAAATGAGATGCAGTACCGGGCCTTAGTACTTCCCATCCACCCCTACCCGCCAAATGATGGCGTGGGAGCTGGAGAAGGAAAGGAGATCAATGCCTCCAAGTTAATAGGAGTGAAAGACAGAAACCAGGTTTTTGTTTACTTTCAGATATTTGGGTGTAAAATATACACCTCTTGATTTTTTGCTTATTCTCACCCAACGTCAGGAATGAGATTAGCATTTGCATGTGTAAGGAATACTTTTGTGTATATTGAGCCACTCCTTAACTTTGTTGGGAGGATATCGCTTTCCCCACAATTGTCTTCCTTCTGCGCTGACATAAAAGCACTCAGATGAAGCTAGTGAGAGCCAGAATTAGTTTGACTTTCTAAGTTTCTAAGAATTGGCAGTATCTAGATTTAATCTTCCTAGGCCTTTGGGGTGGGAGGGCTTACACTATGCAAAGTCACCTAGGAAATAATACTTTCTCCTCAATGTGAAAACACAAGCTGGAAAAGAAAACACACTTGCTGTAATCTGTCTTAGATAGGATCCAGGCTGGCATAACAAAGCAGCTTCTCCTAGGCAGTGGGACTGAAAGTGTCAACTATCTAGTAAGTGATAACATCTAGATGAGAATAATCCCCTCAGAGCTGTAAGAGTCTAGATATGAAAAAGCAAGCAATCGATTGTGCTTACAATCATACTCAGCAGCTGCCTGGTGCCTGGCTTATAACAGTGCTTCTAAATGTGTTGGGTTCAAATTCCAATTCTGATAGTACTTTGTGCCACTCACTTCACCTCTCTGAACCTGCAAAAGGTTATTTAAGAATAAAATGAGATGATATAAAAATGTATTTAGAGCCTATTAAATGTCCAAAAAGGTTCCTATGTGCTTTGCCTCCTCCCTACTGAACTTGACTTTACTCAGCTGATCTGCTTCTCTCACCAATATGGCCCTCACTCTTTCCACCTATCCTCCAAAGGACTCAAATAATTGGTAGCTATTTACTATGCATCTAGTATGTTCCAAGACAATAAGTATCAGTTGAACCTGTCTTATGCTGTTTATAACTAATAGCGTTTGCACCTAATGCAAAGATTTAAGATTTCATTGTTGTAAAATCACTAGGAATACTTGTTAAAGATGCAGACACCCACCTCTTCATACCTCCTATTCTTAAGATTCTACTTCAAGGGGTCTAAAATAGGGGTCCTGAATTTGCATTTTTGTTTTATATTTAAAATGTCTTTATATTAATGTTATATAAATGCATAAAATGGATTCATCATATAGTACTTTTTTTATTATTCAAAGAAAATTTTTGTTTATCTTCTCTTTCCCTATGTTAAAATCTTGTATATATCTTTGAACAATCTTACAATATTATATATCCATAATCACATACTATACCACTCACATAATCATAATACAGAATTATGTACTCTCATACTACATCTTGACATTGTGAAAAAATAGGACCATATGCATATTTTTCTGCAACTTGTTTTCTCTCACTAAATGGTAACTTATGGCAGAGTTTCTCAGCAATATGTGCATTAGCAAAGAGACAAAGTTTTCTTATGCCAGTATGCCACTTAAATTTTTTTTTTTTTTTTTTGGTATTTTTTTTTGGGTTGTTGGGGGCTACCAGGGATTGAACCCAAGGACATTTAACCACTGAGCAACACCCCCAGCCCTTTTATTTTTTATTTTGAGACAGGGTCTCACTAAATTGCTGAGACTATCTTTGAACTTGTGATCCTCCTGCCTCAGCCTCCCAAGCCTCTGGAATTTCAGGCTTGTACCACTGTGCCCAGCTTGCCACATAAGTATTATCACATTATGTGAGGCAAAAAAGAGTTGGGAATCATGGCCTAATGGAAATCCCCCCAAATCAACAACTATACATAGGTTAGATTTTGATCACTATAACAAAAAACAAAACAAAAACTGGAGATAAATACCTTAAAAGCAGAAAAGATTTACTTTGGCTTACAATTTCAGAGGTTTCAGTCCATGGTTGGTTGGACCCATTATCACTTCAGAACTGTGGTGAGGCAGAATATCACATCGCAGAGAACATGGTAGAACAAAGCTCCTCACCTCATGGCAGCTGGAATGCGCAGATATAGATAGAAAGTGAGGAAAGGGCCTGGGTCTTAATATTCCCTTTAAGGTCATGGCCCCAATGACCTACTTCCTCCAAATAGGCTCCACTTCTTAAAGGTCCCTCTACCTCCCAATAGTGCCACCAGCTGGGAGCCAAACTTTCAACATATGCTTCTGGGATACATTTAAAATTCAAATTATTTATTTCTATGCATGTATGAACCCAAGTACTATGTATAATCAGTAAGCTCTAATAAAAATAAATAAAATACAAATTATAACAATGTATCTAATTCATTATTTTTAAATACTGTAAACTCAGCCTATATAAAGGATCCCACAAGATTCTGACAGCGGTGATATGCTGACCACAGTTCAAGAAACTGAGAGAAAAATATCGAGATATAAAGTCCATAGGTGAGTTTATTTATTCATTAGCTTTCGTGAAACTAGAATTACAGGATATGAGAGCTGAAAGAAGTGTCAGCCTCTCTCATGAAAGGTAAACAAACTGAGTTTGGGTGGGTTTAGTAATTTGTTTCGGTGGCAGAAGAAGTGAATGGGAGAATTGGGAATAGAATTCATGTCTTTTGACTCACATCTCAGACATTTAATTGATTTGGTTAGTAATAATTTCACATAGGAAGAGGAATTGCTACATATAAGGTAGAAAGTCTTCACACAAGAGACCGTTTGGTGCTGGACCTGCCTCTTCAATTTGGTAAACTAAAGAATCTAGAATCGAAATTAGTTTCTAGGTCCAGTTGTGCCACATATCAGTTGAGCGACCTTGATTGTATCAATTCACCTTCCTGACCTGAGTTTCCACTCTAGTCCATCAGTCAACAAGTATTTCTTGAGTACAAACTAAGTGGTAAGTAATATTTCAGATGCTGGGGATTAAGCAGTAAAACAGACACAAGGGTTAGACTTACTCCCAAGAAACCTCCTGAAAGGCCCAAAACGTGGTTAAACAATACCTCATGTCCTTCAAACAGCTATAACAATATATTAATTCATGAGAGTGGTTCACATCTTCCTATCCCTGTTTTCTTTTTCCTTTAGGATATGCTACACACCATTATCATGAAGCCTTTCCTCAGCTTGATAATGTAATTTGTGCATACAGTGGGCAAGGGTTATGGTCCAAATTCTATATTTTCTATACTGGCAAATGCTGAGGAAATGTCAAGTTAGAAATTTACTTTTTTTAACCTCAAAAGGTTTACTGGATTCTGGTTTCATTGATGGGTCAGAACTAAAATCTATCATCTTTTACAAGGGACTCGGTCTCTAGAAATACTGCTGCATCTGCTTCTACTGATACCCACGATATCCCAACAAGAACATATCTGGCCCCTTATTCTGCCACTGACTCTGTTTCCCAGGAGGGATTAGAGGAGATGAAGGCAATGTGTGATAGGCCAAATAATAGCCCTGCAAATATGTTCACACTCTAACCCCTGCAACCTATAACTATGTTACCTCACATGATAAAAGGACTTAACAGATATAATTAATGCTAAGGACCTTGAGATGGGTAGATTATCCCAGATTATCTACGTGGGCCTAATGAAATCATAGGAATCCTTAAAACTAGAGTAGGAAGGCAGAATTGTTGCTGACTTTGAAGATGGAGGAAGGGGTTCATGAGCCAAGGCAAGCAAGTGGAAGAACTCTAGAAGCTGGGAAGAACCCTCAGCTGACAGCCAATAAGGAAATGGAGTTATCAGTCCCACAACCTCAAGGGGCCAATTCTGCCAATGATCTAAATGAGCAAGGAAATATGTTCTTTCCTACAGACTCTAGGAAGAAGCTCATCCCTGCTGGCAGCTTGATTTTACCTGCGGAGACCAATGTTAGATTTCTAGTCTACAAAACTGTAAGATAGAAATTTTAAGCTGCTAAATGTGAATTTGTTAGGGCTTCAAGAAAAAAAATAATAATACATCACACTGGGATGTGGAAAAATAATGGAAGAAACAGGAGGGTCATGTCTTTCAGCTCCTTGATATCCAAGATTTCTAAGCAGAATATCATTCAGATCAAGATAAAAATGCAAAGAGAAAATGAATGTAATTTGACTTGTTCTGAGAGAAAACTCTCAGTTATGCCCAACTTTTAAGTATTCATTGAATGAACCAAACTGAATAAAGAAAATTTTGGAATTAAAGACTCAGAAAAATGAGATATCCCATCTGATTCAAATGTATGATATGTCAAAGTCATTGTACTAATGTCATGTGTAACTAATTAAAACAAAACAAAACAA